TTCCCTTAGTTTCTATATTTTTCTTTTGTATGTCAGTGTTTTAAAATTCTTTATTAATTTTTTATTTTTATCAAAGCCATACATATACTTCGAGAAGTCAACTAGTTCCACGAGGCTTTTAATGTAAAAGGCAATTCTCCCTGCCACACCCCTGCTATCCCAATTCCCACCCCCCATAAGTAACTGCTTTCAACAATTTTTAGCTTAAACTGGCCCACAGGACCCCGGTCGGTGGTCTCCTGCTATCTGTAACCTCGGCCCCAAGACCGTCTGCCATATTCCTGCCTTGGAGCCCCTGCTCTGGCCCTTGCCTCTGCCTGGGACTCTCTCCCTCAAATAGTTACATGGTTAACTCATTCACCTTCGGATCTGTGCTCCAAGTCTAGTTTTGTTTTTTGGTTTTTGGTTGTTTTTTTGCTTTGAGTGAAGTAGAAAGCCCCTAGAGGGTTCCCCGCCCACACCGGCCACAGCCTTATTGAGGTATAATTGACATATAACATTGTGGAAGTTTTTAGTGCACAACATGATGATTTGAGACACTTATCTACTGCAAAATGATTACCACAATATGATCAGTTAACACCTCCACCAACTCACATCATTATTTGTGTGTGTGTGGTGGGAATATTTAGGGTCTACTCACTTAGCGACGTTCAAGTATATAATACAGTATTGTTAACCATAGTCACCAGGCTGTACATCAGATCCCCAGAACCTACTCATCGTAGAGCTGGAAGTTTGTGCCCTTTGACCAGCAACTCCGCATCCCCCCCCCCCCCCCCCCCAGCCCCGGGCAACCACCCATCCGCTACTTTCTGTGAGGTCAGCTCTCTCAGAGTCTATATACAAGCGAGATCACACAGTGTTTGCTTCTCTTTGTCTGACTTTTGTCAGTTAGCACAATGCCCTCCGGGTCAATTCATGTTGTCCCAAGCAGCAGGATTTCCTTTTTCGTGGCTGAATAGTATTCCATTGGGGCGAGGGTTTGGAGCAGAGGATTGGGGCGATCTGCCTTAGGGTTGAATGGTTTGTTCTGGCTTCTGGGTTGAGAATAGACTGAAGCAAGAGGGAAGGCGGGGAGACCAGTTTGGAAACTATCGTAGAACTGTGGGTGGAAAAGGGTGGTGGCATGGACTAGGGGGGTTGTGAGTGAGAAGTGGCCAGTTACTGGATATATACTGAAAGAACTGCTGCCCCAGGATTTGCTGATAGATCGAAGAAGGATGTGGGAGAGATAGACGTGCACCAAACATGAGTTCTCTAAGTGTTTGACCTGAGCAGTTGCAAAATAATCCATTGATACAGATGTTAACTCTCCTTAAATTCTGTAAATTTAAGGTAATCTCAGTGATATTGCAACTGGATTTTTAAAAGAAAGAAACAAGCTTATTGTGAAGTCCTTACAGAAAACTAATATACAAGGATAGTCAGAAGAAATACTGAAAAAGAAGGGTAATAAAGTGAGATTAGTTCTACCAGTTAGTAAAACATCTTTCAAGCAACAGGAATTAAAATGGTAAGGAACTGGCACCACCTGCTCCTGTCAGTGACATAAAACAGACCTACACGTGTAGAAGAAAAAGAATTCAATATATGACAGGTCTGTAGAAAATTTCTTCGGTAGATGGCAACTTCTTGAATGCATCGTTTCAGGATGAGATGATGTTCCTTAAGTAGGGCACAAAACTCCAAAGTCATAAGAAAATGCTAAGTGTGATGACATAAAAGTGAAAATATTCTGCATGGAAAAATATCCCATAAAGAAGATAACTAACTTTAGGGCACCTGGGTGGCTCAGTCGGTTAAGCATCTGCCCTCAGCTCAGGTCATGATCCCAGGGTCCTGGGATCGAGTCCCGCATCAGGCTCCCTGCTCAGTGGGGAGCCTGTTTCTCCCTCTCTTCCTCTGCAGCTCCCCCTGCTTGTGGTCAGTCTCTCTCTCTGACAAATACATAAGCCTTTTTTTTTAAAAAAAAGATAACTTTATCTTTCTTTTGAAAGAAAGTTTAATTTTCAAAAGAGATATTACTTTCAATATACATACATATGTATCAAAAGCTGTTAGAAGTTATCAAGAAGAAAAATAACAGAAAAACGAGCAAAGAATGTGACAGTTTGAGAAAAGGAACTATCAGTGACTGTGAAAAAGATATGAAGTCTAGAATAAGAGACATTAAAACTGCAGTGAGATTCTATTCTTCTATGAGGTTGGCAAAGACCAAAACGTTTGGTAACACCGTTTCTGAAGGTGTGAGGAAACAGGTTCTCTCTTCCAACCTTCTTCTGAGTAAACTCATACAACCTTTATGGAAGACAATTCAGCAGTATCTGTCAAAATCACAAAAGCCTTTGGTGCAGAAATTCCACTTCTAGAACGTGTTCCCACTCCTAGACTTGTCCATGTTTGAAGGGACCCATGTGCAGGGATAATGTCCTGTATTATTACTCGCCCCAGCCAGTATCAGTATCTTTAGATGTTCCCTGAGTGCGAGGCAGCGGGGTGGGTCTGGGCTCAGTCAGAGGCTGTGTGGGAGAGTGAAAAAAGCCTCTGTGTCGGAATCGGGCAGATGTGTTAGAATGTACCCCCTTCAGGGAGTAAGTCGGAGGGGGAGACGAACCATGAGAGACGATGGACTCTGAAAAACAAACTGAGGGTTCTAGAGGGGAGGGGGTGGGGGGGTGGGTTAGCCCGGTGATGGGTATTAAAGAGGGCACGTTCTGCGTGGAGCACTGGGTGTTATGCACAAACAGTGAATCATGGAACACTACATCAAAAACTAATGATATAATGTATGGTGACTAACATAAGAATAAAAAATTGTTAAAAAAAAAAAAAGAATGTACACCCTTCAGCGTTGTTTGTGTGAATTTAAGGAAATTCAACACGTAAGGACTGCTGTGCCCCCAGCAGAAGACTCCTGCAATGAAGGGCGCTGAGCCCTTGGCCCGGGTTCCTCAGCTACCGCACAACCCAGCATGGACCCAGGGGCCATCCAGCCCAGCCCCTGAGACGTGGGCTCAGGGAAAGCTGAGCTGCTTCCATTTGCGGCTCTGAGAGGAACAAATGGTGTCACTGTGGCCCATTTCATTCAGTCTTAGTTACTTCCTGCAACAACAGAACATGGCAGGTTGATTAACTCTCTTGCATGGTCATCTCTTCCAGCGTGTTGTTACTTCTTGCCATCCTCTGTGAGGTTGGGGCTCTTCCCTTGGCAAGAATGACAGTACCTTGAGGGGTGCCTGGGTGGCTCAGTCAGTGAAGCATCTGACTGTTGATTTCAGCTCAGGTCACGATCTCAGGGTCGTGAGATCGAGCCCCATGTAGGACTCATTGCTCAGTGCGGAGTCTGCTCGAGATTCTCTCTCCCTCTCCCTCTGCCCCTCCCCCCACTGCACTCGCTCACTCTCTAAATAAAAAAAAATATTTTTTTAAAAAAGAATAATAGTACCTTGAATCACCAGGTCGTTAGGAAATGCTATAATGGGTACAGAGCAGGAAGTAAGTGGTAGTGACTATTTTTTAAAGATTTTATTTATTTATTTGAGAAAGAGAATGAAAGAGAAAGAGCATGAGAGGGGGGAGGGTCAGAGGGAGAAGCAGACTCCCCGCTGAGCAGGGAGCCCGATGTGGGACTCGATCCCGGGACTCCAGGATCATGACCTGAGCCCAAGGCAGTTGCTCAACCAACTGGGCCACCCAGGCGCCCAGTAGTGACTATTTTTTTAATAAATTTCTTTGTCACCTTTGTTCCTCAAATCAGATGTCCCTGAATATCAAACAGCAACTGCTTTTTAGTTTATAATCCTGGCTACCTATCATTCCACTGTAAATAACTAGAGAAAAATACATTTTCTAAACCTGTGTTTTTCAAACTGGTTCGTAACCTATTAGTGCATATAAATTCAATTTAGTGGGCTTTTAGTGACATTTTTGAAAAAATGAACAGAGTAGAATAAGAGATCAGAATACAATATAAGTTCCAGAGTAGATACCATCCTGTGAAACGTTTTCAGCTTGTTTGTTAGAACCAGTGTGTTTACATACGCAGGTGAGGTATCGAAGGGACTGTGTGTTCTTTTTTTTTTTTTTTTTTTTTTTTAGAAAATTGAAAACTCCTTTTCTAAATTCTAAACTGCTGCTTGGCTTGAACATTTGTGAGGGTTTCAGTGGAATCAGATCAAATGATCTTGTGTGTAACCAGAACAAGCCCTTCGATGGGACCAAAGATGCCAGGAAGTCAGTAGGAGTGAATTCTACAAGCCAGTCAACCAGAGAGCATCCAGAACGGATTGTCCCTGACACCAGCCCATCTAACAGAGCCCTCCGGAGTTCACTTGGAGAGACTGCAAGAAACAAAATCTACACATTTATCGTCAGCAAATGAATTCTTGCTTTAAAAATTTTAGTTTTCTTCTAATTTAGAGCAGAATCATGCATTTTCCTTAAACCTCCCATTTTTTTTTTTATAAGCTGCAGAACTAGTTTATTTCCCACCTGAGTTGTACCTGTGAGTCATGCTAACACATTATGCTTTATGGCAAGACTTCTACTTTACTACTGTGCTGAGTCAGTGATTTAAAACGGAAAAATACTCGAATTTTGACACCCACGTTGTGATTCTTTCAGCACAAGGAGAATATCCTTCTGAAGTGATTGATAATTAGCTTAAAAGTTCTTTCTCCATCTTTCTCCACTTCGTCCTTACCTAAGTTCCCTTTTCCATATTCAGTGACTCTATTTATTCTTGAAAGACATGCTGAGTGACAGTGTCTTTTTTTTTATTTTTTTATTGTTATGTTAATCACCATACATTACATCATTAGTTTTTGATGTAGTGTTCCATGATTCATTGTTTGTGCATAATACCCAGTGCTCCATGCAGAATGTGCCCTCTTTAATACCCATCACCAGGCTAACCCATGCCCCCACCCCCTCCCCTCTAGAACCCTCAGTTTGTTTTTCAGAGTCCATCGTCTCTCATGGTTCGTCTCCCCCTCTGACATACTCCCCTTTTCTTCCTTGAGTGACAGTGTCTTAGTAGGAAAGACCTGTCAGGTGTCTCCACGTAGACGGTGGGCCCGGGTCTGGCTGCAAAGCCCTTGAACCTGTGTCAGCATCTGGCCCCACAGACTTCCGCCCGCCCCTTCCTGAGGCCACTGGGCCAAGTCACCTTCCCTAGCAATTTCCTTACTGCTCTCCCTGGTGAGTACTCTACTTTTCTTCTTTTTAAAAAATTATTAGAGCTTTAAAAAAATGTTTATTGAGATATAATTGACATATAACATTGCACAGGTTTTAAAGTGCCGATTTGACAAATTTATATATGGGAATGATGACCACCGTCGTGTCAGCTAACACTTCCATCATTGCCCTACAATTACCGTTTCTCTCTCTCTCTTTCTAAGATTTTATTTACTTGAGAGAGAGAGAGAGCCAGAGAGCACAAGCAGGGGGAAGGGCAGAGGGAGAAGCAGACTCCCCAGTAAGCAGGGAGCCGGATGCAGGTCTCAATCCCAGGACCCCGGGATCATGACCTGGGCCTAAGGCAGACGCTTAACTGACTGAGCCACCCAGGCGTCCCTATCACTTCTTTTTTTGTAGTGAGAACAATTAAGGTCTAGTCTCTTATTAGCAGTTTTGAAGTATAGAATGCAGTATGGTTGACTATAATCACTGTGCCGTGTGTTAGATTTCCAAAACGCATTCATTTTCTGGTTGCAAGTTTGCACCCTTTAACAGCATCTCCCCATTTCCCCCAGCCCCTGGTAACCACCGCTCTACTCTGTTTCTACCAGTTTGGCATTTTTTAATTTTTTTTAATTTTATTTTTATTTATTTATTTGACAGAAACATAGTGAGAGAGGGAACACAAGCAGGGGGAGTGGGAGAGAGAGAAGCAGACTCCCCACTGATCAGGGAGCCCGATGTGGGGCTCGATCCCAGGACCCTGGGATCATGACCTGAGCCGAAGGCAGGCGCTTAACGACTGAGCCACCCAGGTGCCCCTGGCTTTTTTTAGACTCCATATGTAAGTAATATCATACACTATTTGTTTTTCTCTGGCTGGCTTATCTCACTAAGCATAATGTCCTCAATATCCGTTCATGTTGTCACAACGGCAAGATAGGATCTCTCTCTTTCTCATGGCTGAATAATATTCATATATATATATATATACATGCACCCCCCACACACACCATCTTCTTTATCCACTTACCCATTGACAGACGTTTATGTTGTTTCCATATCCTGGCTATTGTGAATAATGCTACAATAGACATGGGAGGACAGGTACCCGATTCTTGACATCCTATTTGAATTTCCTTTGGATACACCCCCAGAAGTGGGATTGCTGGATCTTACGGTAGTTTAATTTTTTAATTTCTGAGGAACTTTTGTACTGTTTCCTACAGCGGCTCCACCAATGGACATTCTCACCCACGGTGCACAGGCTTCCCTTTCCCACACCCTTGATGACTCTTATCTCTTGTCTCCTGGATGAAAGCCAGGCTCATGGGGGAGAGGTGATAGCTCCGTGTTGTTTAAACTTGCATTTCCCTGATAAGGAGTGATCTTGAGCACTTTTCATGTACCTGCTGGCCATCTGGGTGTCTCTTTGGAGTACTACACTTTTTGGATCTTCCTTCATTAACTCGACAGAACTTGGTAGCTGCAAGGATTTCTAATTTCTATCAGGAAGAGGCAATTTGTTGGCACTTAGGGGAAAGATCCTGGTGAACCTTCATTAGCTGAAACCGTGGAGCACTGCCGTAGACAGCCTAAGTGAGACCACCAGAGTGAGAACTGCATTTCCCACCTCCCTGCTGGTGTTCCTCTCTCCTGTTCTCCGCTCTTCTGTTCCACAGACACGGAGTCCACATGCTGTCGTGAAATCCCAAGGTGGCCGCTTCCTGGCCCCAACCTTTTCCCCAGTGGCCCTCTCAATCATATCCAAGTTCCATGTCCCCTGCCCCCATGAAAATTCATGTTCAGGCCTCTGATTAAATGCCTCTCTTCAGGGGCGCCTGGGTGGCTCAGTCGGTTAAGCGTCTGCCTTCAGCTCAGGTCACGATCCCAGGGTCCTGGGATCAAGCCCCATGTCTGGCTTTCTGCTCAGTGGTTAGCCTGCTTCTCTCTCTCCCTCAGCTTCTCCCCCTGCTTGTGCTCTCTCTCTCTCTCAATCTAATAAATGAATAAAAACTTAAAAAAAAAAACACAATAGGTCAAATAAACCTAGCCGTGGACTAGGCCCCTGGGTCATGAGTTTGTGCCCCCAGCAAAGTATGGCCATCATGTGTGTTTGTGCCTTGCACAGGGGCCTCGAGTAAAGACTAAAATCCGTGTCACACATGTCTCGCCAAGCTGCACGCCCAGGCAGGGGACCACCTCATTGGGAAGAAAGCAAACCCTTCTCTGCTTGATCTGCCTAAAGGAAGAGTGCCCTTTCCTAATTTGCATGAAGTGCCCCTTTGTCCCAGTAGGGAACATGCAACCGAGATGAACAGCATCATGGTAAAGCTGCCGCAGGGCCTCCCTGTGCGGGACCTTCGGCAGTAGAACCCAAGAGTCACACGTTGGTGACCATCTATGTGATGGTACCCAGTCTCTGCTCGTGGTGTTATTTTCTGGGGTTCTGAGCATAGCTTGGTTTACATCCGTGCAACTTTTACGTTGAAAGTTACATGGAAGTACTTTTACAGTAAATCTTATGAAGGGGAAAAAAAACAGGGTTTTATGAGATAGGTTGACCTTGGGGGACCCACTCTAGTTTGGTGACAGCCAGTGGGGAAACTGCACTCCTGGAAGAGAGAACCAGGTACATTTAGGCAGCCCTTGGATCACCCAACCCACCCTTGTTCTGGGAAGGCAGCTTCCTCGGTAGGTTAGCCTGGGGCTGGTAAATGCATCTGCATTTTCAATTATCATTGGCAGGTACTAATGATTGGCCCAAAGACCACATTTCTCTCCTCAGCCTCTCGCCTTACAGATAGATAGTTTTAAGTCATCAGTCGTTTTTCGCCCCAAACAACCATAAGGGCTAAAAATTTCAGACCACCCATTCTCCCACGGTGACATATGTTGCCATATTGGTGACTCTGTAGCAATTTTTTTCTAGCCTTCTAGTTCTTCTCTAACATCATACAGGAAAGTATCATCAATGAATGTAATTGGTGGGGCCCCTGTGTAGCTCAGGTCATGATCCTAGGCTCCTGGGATCAAGCCCTGCCTCAGACTCCCTGCTCAGCGGGGCTTTGCTTCTTCCTCCCTCTCTGTGCTCTCTCGCTCTCAAGTAAATAAAACCTTTTTTTAAAAAAATGAATTTAATTGGTCTGAAATATTTTTCTTTTTTTTTTTTTTTTAAGATTTTATTTATTTGTCAGAGACAGAGACGCAGAGAGAGAGAGACCCCAAGCAGGGGGAGCGGCAGGCAGAGGAAGGAGCCGACTCCCTTCTGAGCAAGGAGCCTGATGCAGAACTCAGTCCCAGGACCCCAGGATCATGACCTGATCCAAAAGGCAGTTTAACCAACTGAGCCACCCAGGCACTCCAGTCTGAACTATTTCTATAAAAATTTCAGGAGAAATACCCTTTATTTTGCTAAAATTTGCTAAAATTCTCTCTTTCTTATTATATACTTCTACATGCTAATTAATGTCCTTTCAGATTTTATCATTTTTCTCAAATGTCCTTTAAAGCAAAACCAAACCAATCCAAAACAAAAAAAAAACAAACCAAAACAAAAACCTTTTTTTCTCTTCCAGGATCCAGTCTAGAATTACACTTGCACTTTGTTATCATGTCTCTTTGCTCTTTAATCTGGAACACTTCCGTAGTCTTTTTTTTTTTTTTTTCCTTGCGAGACCTTGACATTCTTTGTAACAGTATGGCCCAGAGATTTGTACGATGTCCCTCAATCTGGGGTTGTCCAGAGTTTCCTCATGATTAGCCTCGGGTCACGTGTTTTGGCAAGAATGTCTCAGGAGTAATATTGTGGCCTCAGTGTGTCCCGTCAGGAGGCACATGTTAGCTACTCTCCTTGTGCCTTGTGACGTCAACTATGAACACTGGGCAAAGGTAGTGTCTGCCAGGTTTCTCCACTGTGAAGTTATGACTTTTTTTACCTTTATAATTCACAAATATTTTGTAAGGAGATACTTTGATATTGTGCAAGTGGTTTGTCCCATATCCAGGTTTTACCCGGAGATCCTATTGCTGATTCTTGCTTGAAATAACTGACTGTGGAGAAGTCCCAGTGGTGATGTTCTAATTCTATCACGCCTTCTGCATTTCTGTGTTGGCATTCTAACGGCCCGGCATTCTCCTGCACACATTAACTTACATCAGCACCAACTCATTTCCATACTGGATTTATTCTGTAATCCATTTTATCGTTATTTATTGTGCTACTCAATTACTCTCAGATTTGCCCAGGGAACACCCCACCAAACTGGCACCTATCTCCTTTTGACAGGTCCCCATTTTTCTCCAGCAATTCATTTTCTGGCACAGCGATATTCACGAGGTTATTTCTTAATGAGTTCTTGGACAAAATCCCAAAATGTGGCCCAGTGAAAGCAGTTCTGTAGAGAGCCAAGCTGCTATGATCCAAAAACGCTATTGATGGTCTTGCTTGATTCCAGGCTAAAACTCAAAGAACTCAGAGGAACAGGCACTCCACCAGCCATCTCCTATAAATACTGCTTCTTCTAAACTGACTTTTGATAAGATTCGGACATCAGACAATCCAAGATTTTGTTTTCTGGCAAAGGTCAGCAGCACTGTCCAATATAACTTTCTGCAATGATGGAAATGTTCCATATCTGCATTATCCAAGAAGGTAGCCACTAGCCACGTGTGGCTTTTGAGCACTTGAAATGTGGCTAGTGTGACCGAGAAACTAAATTCTTCATTTAAATCTGTTCATTGTGTATGTCCACAATAACCAAACTATGGGAAGAGCCCAGATGTCCATCGACAGATGAATGGATAAAGAAGATATCGTGTATATATATATATATAAATATATATATATACACAATGGGATACAACTCAACCATCAAAAAAATGAAATCTTGCCATTTGCAATGACGTGAATGGAACTAGAGGGTATTATGCTAAGCAAAATAAGTCAGAGAGACAATTATCATATGATCTCCACTCATATGTGGAATTTAAGAAACAAAACAGAGGATCATAGGGGAAGAGAGGAAAAAATAAAACAAGACAAAATCAGAGGAGAGACAAACCGTAAGAGTCTCTTAAGCATAGGGAAAAAACAGGGTTGCTGTGGGGGGATGGGGTAACTGGGTGATGGACATTAAGGAGGGCACGTGACGGAATGAGCACTGAGTATTATTTAAGACTGATGAATCACTGACCTCTACCTCTGAAACTAATAATACACTGTATGTTAATTAATTGAATTTAAATAAAAAATAAAATAAAATATGTATAGAAAATAAATAAAAAGCAAAATAAAAAATAAATCTTTTAAAATAAAAAAATAAATCAGTTCATTATAATTTTAATTTATATAAACACATGTGGCTAGTGGCTGCCATATTGGACACAAGTCTAGAGGGAAGGTTTCCTATGGCGTTGATAGAGGAGGGATTTAAATATACTAGAGGAGAGGGGCGCCTGGGTGGCTCAGTCGGTTAAGCGTCTGCCTTCGGCTCAGGTCAGGATCCTGGGGTCCTGGGATCCAGCCCCATGTTGTGCTCCCTGCTCAGCGGGGAGCCTGCTTCTCCCTCTCCCTCTGCTCCTCTTCTTCCCCCACCCTTTGCTCATGCTTGCGCTCTCTCTGTGTCTCTCTCTCAAATAAATAAATAAAATCTTTAAACTATATATATATACACAAACACACGCATACACATAAATATACACATATATATACTAGAGGAGAATGATAAAACACAGCAGTAAATGATTAAACAATTAAAGAATTTTCTGGAGGTATTGAACTCAGAACTCGAGAACAGCTGTATTTCTGCATTATTTAAATTGTAGATTGCAAAATCACAATGCTCTACTGAGGCAACTCCTGATTTGTGACAAATCATCAAAGCATCAGCCTATGGGATATTTGTCCCCGTGTTCTTTCGTATAGAGACCCTGCATCCACATCATCAAAAAGTTATTTCAAATCGGTAGTATCTGGGGGGCGGGGGGTAGCGATGGAAGGAGGGAGGTAAAAAAAAAAAAGTCTTATTTTCTGTTTCCTCAACAGTCTTAATTTTCCTTAAGTATGCTTTATTTACGAATTGGTTATATACTTGGTGGAAAGACAAACAGGGTTGCCTGACCCTGAAGACTTCGGTTGCCTGGCAACAATCTGATGAGCCCAGAGCCTCCTCTCCCAGCAGGAGGGGCTGTGCCCAAAGGCAACTTCCTGCAAGGCCAACAGGTGCTAGCGACAGCTGACACCCTGTACAGCTTCCATCCAACCTCAGACTGCCCGATGCCCAAGCAGACATCGTGTCCCAGTTGGCAAGGCCACTGTCATGCTTACTCTTTAAAAAGGGAAAGCAGCTGAGTGGGGGTGGGGGACTGAGTCCTTTTGGAGTCCGGATCCACATTAGTCCCAGCGGCCTCACCCCGTGTCCACCCACACGGTGCTGAGGTCGGACACCGGGCATCTCTTCAACCTCTGCTTTCCTGTGCTGGCCTGCCCTGACTCTCACCATTGTTTGCTCAAGCCCTTCGAAGGACACAGTTTTAATAAAAACAATCTAGATTTTCTCCCAGATAGCTGACATCAAGGAAAATCATCCATGAGAACTCAGTGTATTTATCATAAAGAAAAGAATCACTTTTGAGATCACTGTGGATGACATGGTAAGAAGATTTCATTGTTAATTTCCTGATTTTGGGTGCTCGTTTTGCTTAGGTAGGAGAACGTCCTCATTTGTAGGAGTTACAAACTGAAGAGCTCAGGGATGATGGAGCATTCTATCAGCAACTTACTCTCAAATGGTTCAGGACAGTTTCTTCTATTCTTGAAACGTTTCCATATGTTTGAAATTATTTCAAAATCAACAACAAAAGAAGTACGTCAAATAAGAGGGCAATGGACTCCCTTCTCCGGAGATAACACGCTCCCTGGTGACACGCCTACAGGAGACGTGTTTGTGTCCCCCCCCCCCCCAGTGTTTGTTTCCCACTCTTTCTTCCCAATAGAACCCTGGCTGTGTTTATCTAGCCCAGGCTCCTCTGCAGCGGGGCACTCCGTTCTGGGCAATGAGATGGAAGCTGACGGTTTGTGGGAAAGCTTTTGCTTTCTTGATACAAGCAAGTGACACCTCCAACTGTTACCCTTACCTTTCTTCCAGCCTGAGAGGTAGAAATGAGGTTGGTAGAGTAGCCTTCATCTTGTGATGATGAGGCAATAAGGATGAAAGCCAACACTCCAGGGTGACAGAGGAGAACTGTGGGTCCCTCCCGATGGCCACACTGAACGGCCCCACCAGCTCTGGACCACCCGCCTCTGTGTGCTTGCCATGTGAGAACTGTAAGCCCCTTTCTGTTTCAGCCCCTGTGGCCAAGTGTCTAGTTATTTGCAGCTGAGGCATTCCTATGCATTTATATATGTATTTATACACATGTGGGTTTTAAAAAGATAAAGGGATCATAGTATGCATATTGTTTTGCATATTGCTTTTTCAAATTTTTTATTTAATAATATGTCTTAAGGATCTTTCCATGTCAGTTCTGGTAAACACAGTATTTCAGAGTATGAAGAAATCACAACTGATCCACTCCCCTATTGATCGTTTCTAATTATTAGCCCTTGCAAGTGATATTGCCTGGTATAATCTCATAGTATATCTTCCTGCATGTGTCAATATTTCTGTAAGAGAGCCCTAGAAGAGGAATTGCTGTACTGTGTGCGGGGCGGGGGGGGGGGCGCATTTTGTTAGATGCTGACAAATTGCTATCCCAAGACTGTACCTTCAAAGTCCTTCCAATAGAGTTCAGAACCCATTCACCCACGCACTTACATAAGCAGAATAGTGTCAGCTTTTAAATGAGTAATTTTAAATGTGTCTGCATTTGCCAGACTCCTAGTGAATTTGAGCACCTCTTCATGTAGTTCAAGGCCATTTGTATTTCTTTTGACTATTAGTATCCTTTTGCACATATTTTTACTTAATTTGTATCTTCTTCCTGTTGATATGCAGGAGGTGGTTTGTTTTTTTTTTTTTAAGATTTTATTTATTTATTTATTTGAGAGAGAGCACAAGCAGCGGGGAGGGGCAGAGGGAAAAGCAGGCTCCTCTCTGAGCAGGGAGCCAGATGCGGGGCTCGATCCAAGGACCCTCCCCCCCGCCCCCCCCACCCCCGACCCTGACCTGAGCCAAAGGCAGATGCTTAACCAACCGAGCCACCAAGCACCCCTGTGCAGGAGGTTTTTATGTGTTAAGTGGCAGACAGTCAGGACAATCTACAGCCTTTCTATCCTGCAGTCTTTAAGCTGATGTCTGCATTTGTTACCGTGGATCCTAAGCTTAGAGTTTCTCTGGGGCTCCCTTCGGAGAACAGCTTCCTTGCCAACGGTCCTCTCATGCACCTGGGTTGAGTGGTGTATCTCTGCCTTCTTCCTAAATCTGATGCCCTTTGCTTTCAATATTCCAGAACCCCTCCCCCCCAAACATTCTGATTCTTTTCCAGCCCAGTTATAGATTTATTCTTTTAAGAAATATATTATGTATCATTTCAATTGGATTTTAGGAGAGAGGGAGGGGAGATAAAGACAAGTAGTAACTGTGTCCTCTGCAGAGGAAGCTCGTTCTGCATTTCCCACAGGTCTCTGGGGTCATTGTCAAGAGTAAGCTTTCAAGTCGAGGAGTAAAAGAATAGAATGTCCTCCACCCGCCACCAAAGGAAAGTAGTTCAAATACCAAGAAGAGCTAATGAAAATTTGTGGATTTTTCAGAAAAGAGGGAAGATAAAAGTCATTTATTCCTGAAGGCTAGAGCTCCTGTATGTTTAAGTGGCTAATAATAGACTAATAAGTTATTAAAGAAATGTCTTCCTCAGTCGTTTTTAATTAAATGCAAACATCCCTGGGCTGCTGATAGAGGATTCACTACTTAAATTTACAAATGATGTTGAATTTGACATCGGGATTAGAATATCAAAAATTAAAACTAAGGCACATGACTGAAAGCCAGGTGTTCAGGAAATGACTTGAGGAGAATTTACACCATGGAATCTTCATATCTACGTCTGAATTTATTTGAATATATAAATGCACTATTTTTTTTTCCAAAAGGAGATCTTTCTGATACCTCTGAAAGTAATTAGAAACAGCAGCTTCCCCTAGAAATGTGTTCCAAAGCCCTGGAAGAAGAGACGGGAACCCCGATGGGGCTATGATGCCAAAGTCCCTAAAAGACTAAGGTAAGTCAGCACTGCTGGGTGGTGGTCAGGACAAGGGATGCAGGTCCAAGGGCAGAGCATATCAGAGCAGGGGACAGAGAGACATGCAAGAGTAACCTGTATGTCCCGCAGGCTCAGCCCACACGGGGATGGAGAAGCATTGCAGGCCCCACTCATCTTGGCCGGGGGGCAGGAGAAACAGAAGCAGAAGCAGTCGTGAGGAGCAGGGTGGGGGAGCTACCAGAAGACTGTGTGCAAGCGCCTGCAGTAGGAAACTGAGGCCACCCCACCCTCACTGCATTCCTCAGGCTCTCCGGGAAAGCCGAACCACCGGCATGTGCAGAAATGGATACAAAGAGATTTACTTCAGGACTTGATTCACCCTATTGTGGAGAATCAAGGATAGGCCAGCAGTCTGGAGACCCAGAGTAGAGTTGATGTTGCAGCTCCAGTCCAGAGGTAGGCAGACTGCTGGCAGAATTCTTTCTTCTTTAGGGGATCTCAGTCTGTTTACTCTTAAAGCCTTCAACTGATTGGACGAGGCCCACCACACTGTGGAGATAATTAATGTGCTTTACTCAAAATCTGCTGAGTTAAATGTTTTTTGTTTTGTTTTGTTTTTAAGTAGGCTCCACACCCAGCGTGGAGCCTGATGTGAGCTCCCAAGACCCTAGAATCAAGACCCGAGCTGAGATCAAGAGTCAGACACTTAACCAACTGAACCACTCAGGAGCCCCTCCTGAGTTAAATGTTAATGTCATCTAAAAAATACCTTCACAGTGACATCTAGACCAGTGTTTGAATATCTGAATACCGTGGCCCAGCGAAGTTGACACATAAAACCAACCATCATATCCAGCTTTCTCCTGAGTTCTTCCTCAGCTGGTCAGGAGACCCAGGATGATGAGGAGGGCTGGGTTTCCTGTGGCTCCAAAGGCAGTGAAGAAATGCCATTTGGTTTTGGTCATCATTGCCTGGGTCTGAGGAAAACCTGTATTAGAATAAGCATTGGGAACCCATCATGTTGTGAAAAAATTAACATTATTACCTCATTCCATATGCCCAGTAGGGTAGTCTACGCTCAGCTGTTGTTCAGATTCCTGACAAATCCCTCCGTCACCCTCAAGCCTCAGTTCCCACTCTTCCAGAAGAGAGAGGGGCCATTCTTTATTTTGCTGTGGTTGTTCTTATTACAAGAAGAAAAGAGGGGCGCCTGGCTGGCTCAGTTGGTTAAGCATCTGACTCTTGATTTCAGCTCAGGTCATGTTCTCAGGCTCGTGAGATCCAGCCTCACATCGGGCTCCGCACTCAGCGTGGAGTCTGCTTGAGATTCTCTCTCACCCTCTCCTTCTGCCCCTCCCCCTGCACTCTCTCTCTCTCTCTCTCTCAAATAAATAAATCTTTTTTAAAAAAGAAGAAAAGAAAATATCAAAGCTTTCTATTTTTCCTTTTCCGGAGGAGAGAGCAAAGATTGATCTCTCCACCAACCTCTGAGCTTTACATTTCTTCTGAATGAAAACACGTGCCTCTGGGGAAGAAAAAAAATGCATTTGTGAGCTTAAAAGTGTGTAATAGAGAGCGTCCCAGCAGAAAAGTAATTATATATCATGGAGAGGCTGGTTGAAGGGAAGGTGTAATGTTTGCCAGAGCACTGTCCTGGCTTTCAAGGGGAATTGGGCCATTATAATAAGTAAAGAAACCAGAATTGGGCCATTATAATAAGTAAAGAAACCACCGGATCATTAATCAGGTACATCTGGATTCTAATTCTGGTTCTGCCACTGACTGATCATGTGACCTCAGGCAAATTGCTTCAGAGTTCTTCCCCTCAGTTTTCCAAATCCTTGAGATGGAGTTAATAATACATGCCTACATCCCAGAATGATTGTGCTTATTAATTTTGATAATATATATAAATGTGCAAAGTGCCATGTAAATGCAAATAACTATCGTTTCTTTGGATGGAGACAGTTGTTCTATGAATAAAATAACATTGCAATTGGGAAACTAAGGTTTATGTCACCTACCTGATCATTTTTTATCTTTAATTAATAGGTAGTGGAAACTCTAAGTAAAACTTGCTAAGTCTCTGGAAAGAGATAGCGTTTGGAGCCATTCGGCTATAAATTTTATGAACTATGGAAATGTTGATTTAAATTTTTATTTTTCCTTCAAACTTGGAACCAGAAAGAACAGTAGTGATGTTGAGGGGCTGGAGTTACACGGCAGATATATAATCTATCCAGCATCTCTCCTGTTGGGAACTTTCCTTCCATTCCAAGTGTGTGGACTCCACCCGAGTGTGAGGCTGTCAATCACGTGGACCCTCTTTCTCCTGTGCAGGCGGGTGTGTGGCCCAGGCTGGCCAATCAGAATGCCCACCTTCCTCGACCCAGTGACTCATCCAGGGGAGGTCATGTGACCTAACCTGACTCCTGAGCGCTTCTACGGCGTTGATATAAATGCTGAGGAAGACAGGTCCTCTCTCTTCTTTGGGACTGTGAGCATATTGTCATTGGCTTCTTAGCAAATGAGTTGTGCCATGAGTGGAACAGTGTTCCCTCTACCCCCAAATTCATGGCCACCCGGAATGTCAGAATGCAACCTTAATTGGAAGTAGGGTCTTTGCAGGTACAACTGGTTAAAAATCTTGAGATGAAATCCCCCCAGAACAACACATCTATGTGCCAGGGAGCACCAAGGATCGCCAGCAACCACCAGAAGCGAGGAGACGCCGGGGATGGTTTCTCCCTCAGAGCCTCCAGAAGACACCAACCCTGCTGACACCTGATTTTCGACTTCTGGACTTCAGAACTGTGAGAGAATAGATTTCTCTCCTTCAAAGCCCCCTCGTTGGTGGTAGTTTGTGATGGCAGTCCTAGGAAACGAATACAGAGTGTTCTGCAGAATTCAAGAAGTTGAACAAACACTGTGGGCCTCAGGAAAGGTGGGAACTAAGGAAGCCCCAGGGACCTGGCTGCAAGTGTGTGGACCTTCAACGTCATGCTCCTCTGTGTCCTGCAGCCTCATCTCTGGCAGTCTCCCTGTCTCTCAGTTGAAATAAAGTGAGAGAAAAACAATCTGGCCAGTTGATGCCAGATGCCTTCCCTTGGTCAAATCACTATGGCTTAGGAGAAAGCCAGGCACTGTGCGGACCCACCCCTTGTGGAAAGGGGAAAGTTCTCACAAAAGGGCGGTCTCAGGGAGCCTGGATATTCCAAATCTCATCTACTGCACTTCGGTCAAGTAGCAGGTCATTGAGATAGACTCGTGGCTTCTAATTCCATCTGATCATCATAATCCCCTAGGAAACTTATAAAATTGTAGATTGCTGGGTCCTACCCCAAATTTACACGATGGGAATCTCAACAAGTATGGCCTGGGACTTTTTTTCCCCAAAAAAGTCATTAGGTGATTATGGTGATGAGCCAGTAGGAATAGTGGGGCCATGCTAAATAAAGTTGTTGGAGAAGATTTGTCATAGGTGTGATTTGAACTGGTCTTGGAGCAGGCATACAATTTTGTTGGCACGAAAGAGTGAATTCCAAGCAGATTTTTAAAGATTCTATGAGTCCTCATAGATTAAACTGCAGTGTGCACCCAGAAATAGCTGCAAAGGAAAGATAAATGGGTGAGTAAGTTGGCTTTGCAACCTGACTTTGCCATATGGATTTGTCATTGAATTTATTGTATGCTGTCATTTCATGATCGGTTCAACCCCTTTCATCCATGTTTCAGTGAAAATTGTGTAATATCCCTGGGAGGAATCTGGGCACGTGCACCCTTGAATTCAAAGGTTTTAATGCAATACAGTGAACACCACCCTGTAGTACCTGGATTTGAATCAACATTTTATAACAGAAATAACTGACATTCTGCCATAATTTTTTTAAAATATCTTAGTCAAAAATCACTCCTCACCAAAAGATATTTTGGCTTCATTCTTATCAAGAGCAGTGGTTTGAAACTTATCTGATAGTTGTAACTGAAATCTTGGATGTACTTTTTCTAAATATTTGCATTCCAGAGGGTGGCGTTCTCTAAATGTCACTCGTGCACTTGCATAAACACACACACACACACACACACACACACACACACACGCGCGCGCGCGCACAGAGGCAACACTCCCCAAGGTCCCCATTTAGAATAAAGGACACTGCTAACCAAACTCACTGCTGTCTAACACTTACTAACACTACGTGCTGTGGATAATACAGCATTGATGCTTTTACAAAATAGGTAGCCTTGAATGCCCTTTGGAATTTAACCTGTAGGTAACAGAGGACTTAGAATCTGATCTTACCATAGTGTGAGCCTGGGAGTGAATAGCGGTTGAACACTTTCAGATTGCTTCCTGGGCATCAGCTACTGTTCTAAGTGCTTTTGTTAATTCATTTAAACCTCACAACGAATCCATGAGCTAGGTTCTATTATGATTATCCCCACAAAACAAATGAACAAAGTGGAGTACATAGAGATTACTTAATGCATCCAAGTCACATAGCTCACAAATCATGGTGCCTGGGTTCAACCCAGGCAGTCTGGCTCTAAAGATGTGGTGTCATAAGAAATATATTTGGCCTTTGTCCCTGGTTCCTGGCACAGAGCTCCTAAAACCCTTGGAATTTCCGGAGTGATAGGGATGTCTTTTGTTACTTGTCATGAACCTCTTTTGACCACATCTGAGTTTATGCTAATGAGGCGACTTAGGAGAGAGCCCCTACAGAGCCTCAGGTGGGGCCGATCACCAGAAAGAACAAGTAAATAGAAAGTTGGAACTTTGGGTCCCATCCACCCACCTCTCTAGGAAGGGAAGGGTGGCTAGAGACTAAGCTCTATAAAAACTCTTAAATAACAAGGTTTGTTATGTTTCCTGGTTGGTGCTTGGAGGGTGGTGGCCCAGAGGCGGCCCAGAAACTCTGGGCTCCCAACCCCCATACCTTGCCTTCTGCATGTCTTTCGTCTGCTGTTCTGAGTTATATCCTTTATAATAAAGCAGTAGACCTAAGTGAAGTGTT